ATGCTGAGAGTCCTGGCTCTTCAAGTACCTCCTACTTGACATGAAGCTGCAGCCCGGCACGCTCCACCCCTGCAAGGCTGCCATCCCTCCTGTGAAGTGTGGGCTTGGCTTAGATGGAGAGCAGATGAGCCATCTAAAATCACAGTGTGGGGAGAAATCGCTCCAGTCTGAAACGTGGAGAAGTAGCAGCCTGGGAGCCGAGTGTTGGCTGTGCCTATGAAGAGATAATACTCAGAACAAAGAGGACTCCCTCAGAGAACACCAGACATGCAGGCATGGTTCTGTCCATCTAATCTATTAAATGCAGGAAAGACAATTCTACAGATTAATTCCCTTGGGGGAACTAAGGGAGTTGATGTGTTTCCTTACTGTTGGTTCCCAATAACTCTTGTTTAAACTCAGCCTTGGTTCATTCTTTGCTTCCTCCTGGCTCAATCTAAGCCCGCAGTGTGGAGTGAATGAGTGAGTGGGCAGTTGAGAATGACTTGAGAATGTGCGCTTCACTTCAATGCCTTGCCTTCGTTTTGCACCTATTCTGTTCCTTTGACAAGAAGTCCGAGCATCAAATGCTGACACTCATGTTGGTTTTCCTAGCTTTTCTCAGGTATGGAAAATGCAATGCCATGAATGTATTAGTCTGTTTTGTGTTACCGTAATGACATGCCCAAGGCAGGCTATCTTTATAAGGAAAAGGGTTATTTTAGCTTATAGTTCTGGAGGTTCAGGGGATGATGCCTGGCTTTTTAACTGTACTTTTATTTTTTTTTTATTTTTTGGGTCTGGTCATGGGGCCTGAATTTTGGGCCTAGGTGCTGTCCCTCAGCTCTTCAGTTCAAGGCTAGCGCTCTACCGCTTGAGCCACAGCGCCACTTCCAGCTTTTTTCTTTTTGCTTATGTGGTGCTGAGGAATCGAACCCAGGGCCTCATGCATGCAAGGCAAGCCCTCTACCACTGAGCCACCTTCCCAGCCCCTAACTGTACTTTTATGATTTGTTTTTTCTTTCTTTTTTTTGGTAGTGGGGACCGAAGCCGGGATGTCGCACTTTCTGGGAAAGTGCTTTGCCACTGAGCTCTATCCCAGCCCTGGTGCCTGGCTTTTGGGAAAGTCTCATGTTTGCACTTAGTGCACATGTGAGAGAAATCATATCACTGAACAGAGAGTGAGCCAGAGGCTGGGCTTGCTCTATATAACAAACAACTCCCTCTCCCAAAGGCTCAAGGGTGCCATGAGAATGACCCAAGTCCGCCCCCCCCACACACACATACCTTTTTGGGGTCATAGGGCTTGAACTCTGGGCCTAGGCACTGTCCCTGAGCTCTTCACTCAAGGGGAACACTCTACTACTTGAGTCACAGCGCCACTTCCAGTTTTCTGGTGGTTAATTGGAGATCAGGGTCACCTAGACTTTCCTGCAGGGGTTGCCTTTGAACTGAGATCCTCAGATCTCAGCCTCCTAGGTAGCTAGGATTACAGGCGTGAGCCACCAGTGCTTGGCCTTCATCCCTTTTTGAGGCGTCTTCCCCCATGACCTAAGGATCTCCATCAGGCTCCAACTCCTCAAGATCAGCTCCCTTCTCACATCACTATGCTGTGCCTGGGAGGCACAGACTCTTAGAGAACACTCCAGGAGGATGTTCTAATAAAGTCTGTTCATCAACAGGTCGGGACAGCAGCAGAAAGCAGAAGCAAGACACAATTCCTATCAATGAAACATGTCCTCAGCACGCGAGGCCCCGCTCGACACTGATGGAGGAAGAGCCCTGAGAGAACGGGCAGGGAGAGTCATGCCAATTTCACTACCATTCTCTCTGTAAAAGACCAAAAGGATGCTCCAACGTGAACTTAGTATCTTTCTTTTAGCCTCAATGTATAAGATCTAATTTTCTGCCTTTTTCTCAACCTTGTTAGGAAGCTGGGTACATGGTACATGACACTGGTCTCTCTCTTGAGAGAGCTACAAGATGCTATTATAGCTCTAGGCTAGGGCGCTGTGCCAGGTACAGAGATGAACTGGGGGGAGGGAGTGGAGAAGAATGGTCCTTGCTTTGCACGAGGCTCCCCAGTCCTTTCTAACTTAGAAAATCAGGCACTGAAGGCAGAATGGAGCCTTGGGGATGGTTCTGAAGAGTGACTTGTCTGTCCACTCTCCCTTCCCTCTCTTCCTAGTGCAGGAAGCAGGTGGCTATGTGCTCTGGTAGCAGGGAATGTGTTGTGTACATCTCATGGTATACTCTAGGATGCTATTATAATTTGTTCCCAGGAACATCTGACTGGCAGGTCTAGCACCAACAGTGACACATCTGGGCTTTGCCCCTTTCCCTGGCAATCTATGGGGATCTAAGTAGCCAAACTGTGGTCAGTGGAACTCTCTGGGATCTCATTATTCTTTAACGATAAGATCCTGGGAGTTGTGGTTACAGAGCTCATGATTTGAGTTTTTAATTAGATCCCATTTCCAGGCCTCTGTGGAGAATGAAATAGTCCTGTATTTTTATAAATAAAACTTTGAGCTATAAAAAAATATATACAGCATAAAAATATTCTTCCTGGGAATATTTTTCTTTAAAAAGAATGTATTGTGAAAAATGATTCACTCCTCTTCTCACCAATGACACTATATTTAACAATGATTAGAAATCGCATAAAAGTAATTTTAGATGGCTTTGGTTCTGGCTGCAACACTGCACACCATCTCCCTCCCCTCCCTGTTGGAACCATCTGGGGGGCTGAGGGAAGGGAAACCCAGAATTATTTCCATCCAGTAATCCTGGCAGTACCCCCAATAGTAGTGGTTCTCAGTCTAGTGTGACTTGGCCTGGTGCCTGTAGCGGCTTTTGAAGGAGAGGGGGTTGGGGAGCTATTGAGTATCAGAGTAGAGGCCAGAAAGGTATCAGAAGCACTCCCATACCCCCCCACAAATACCTATACACACACACAAATCCTCCTGTCCAAAATGTCATAGCCCCAAGGTTGGGAACCCCTACTCCCTGGGGGCCAAACACTGCCATGACAGCTCCCAAGCAGTCCACACACAATGCCAGGTCTCTACCCAGCACCAGGACAGCCTATAGATGAGGAAACAGAAGCTCACAGAAACCACTTGTCCAAGAACACATAGTTAATGAGTGTTAGCTTAAACTGGAGCCACAGCACCCTACTCCGAAGGCCATGTTGTCCAAGGATTTGACACATTTGCCAGCGCCTTGCCCTTCTTACCCATAGACCAGTGGTCATGGGTCCTCTGGGCGCTCTTTTCCTGTCTTTTAGGCCTGTCTCAATCTGCCTGCATGCTTGCCTTTCTGGGTCCATGTCAATGCACCCCTTGCCTCCAGCTCTACTCCTAACTCTCACCCTAATCCTAAATCCCCAACTCCTAACCCCTAACCCCAACCCTAACTCTAAACCCTAATCCTAAACCCATAACCATAACTTTAAACCCTAAACCTAACTCTGAACATTAAACCTAAGCCCTCACCTGGACCCTATCGCCACCAAAAAAAAAAAAAAAACCCTCAGAAAAACCCCATTATCATGCTTTTCTCCCTGCCTGACACCTCACAGACAGCCCCAGATCCTCAGACTGAGCTGCGTTGCAGCTGGATTCCTCCTTCTCCAGGGGTCTCAGCTCCTCATGCTGCAACTCCTTGAGAATCCCTCAACATAGTATGCCACCCTCTCCTTCCAGCTTCCACTCTGCCTCCCACACCCGCCTCACGTACCTGGCAAACACCTTCAAGAATCAGTCCAATGTCACCTCCTCAGGAAGCCTTCTGGCACTCCAGGTAGAGCTGACCACTCTGCTACTCTAATTAAAATGCCTTACAATTTGTCTTTGCTTTCAAATCCATCCCTAGGGACTCTGTGTCCTTAGGTGTATCTCCAGGCCAAGGGACCCAATAACCACTCAAGCAACTATTGGGAGAATAAAAGATGGAATATTCCATTACAGGATGAATTCCTCCGGGCAGAGTCTCTTTTTACAAAGCAAACCCATGTCCGTGAATACTAGTATTTACTTTTCCCCCTGCTGGTACTGGTACTTGAATTCAGGTCCTCATGCTCTCACTTAGCTTTTCTGCTCAGAGCTGGAATTCTACCACCTGAGCCACACATGCACTTCCAGCTATCTGTTGGTTAGTCTTAACTATTCTGCCTTGTCTGGCTTCGACTGGCAATTCTCAGATCTCAGCTTCCTGAGAAGCTAGTATTATAGATGTGAACCAGTGGTGCTCAGCTACTGTACTTCTTAGTTAAGTTTCTGCCACTTTGACCCAAAGTGCTGTCTCCATGCCTAGGAATACTACATGTAGCCCCTGACTACTGAGGCAGCTTCCTCTTCCTGACGGGCGCAGTGTCTCTAACCCTCACAGCCTTCTAGTGCACACTTGGTTACTAGGCCCAATGGGTCTAACCAGAAGCTGGCCCTGTATTGCATGCAAATTCCTGGTAGTCAACCAGCAGTCTCCAGTTGAAGTACCTAAGGGCCCAGGGAGACAGATCCTTGAAGGTAAAAAGCAGGAGGTGAGGCTCAGGGAAGAGGGGTAGTGGATGCACACAGTACATCTAGGCCCGGGCCTCACCTCCAGTCTTGCTGCCTGGAGGAATATATATCTCTGGATTTCTGAAGCAGAGCTAGAAAGTTACATTTTGTTTTCTACAATAGATCCTTAGGCTCATTTCAAATACACAGCAAGGTATCTTGCAAATCAACTGCATTTGAGAAATCAGCTTGGCCTGTGAGCTGGTCCATTTGTGGCCTTGGCTTTAGATAAAGCACTGCCTGAGCGATTCCTAAATTTAAGTCTTTATGTTTAGCATTGGATATGTGCTTAGATATATTGAGAGTTGTGGGCACACAAGGGCAGAATTTAAATTGAAATTAATCTAGAGCACTAGGATTAAAAATAACAGAGTCCCGAATCGCCAAAAGAGGGTGAGTAAAACAGAAAAGCAGAAGAGCATTCTAACCAGCATCGAAAGGAACCCAAGGTGCAATTACCTTCCATCTCCAGCAGCACCTGGAACAGGCCGGGGTGTTTGCCTCTCAGCTCCTTCTCCCAGGGGAAAGTGGTGCACATCGAGGGTCTCCCATACCTGCGCCACAGGTCCAGGTAGGAGTTGTGGAGGTCACCTACACAGTAACAAGCATAAGCTGTTACACCTGTAGAAGATACTGAGCCTTCTTCCTTAGCAAAGTACCTTTCCTGCCAGATGTCAGTGGCTCACATCTGTAATCCTAGCTACTCAGGAGGCTGAGATCTGAGGATTGTGAGTCAAAGCTATCACAGGCAGGAAAGTCTAGGGGGATTTGAAATAGATCATGATGCCGCTGTCTTGAGTTCAGCGTTCAAAGCCAAGGCCACAAAAACATGCCAACATTGCTGATGGCTGTTGACTACTTCTTCAGCACAAGCAGCTGGCCTTGGACCGGTCCCCGGGAAGCTGATATCTAGGCAGCCGCTTTGTTGGCATATGGGTTGAAAAGCCAAGCCCAAGGACACCCCCTGCCCCAGAACAGCGGGTCAGAGACATTAGGAAAATCTCCCTGATGCCCCCCAGCATAGCAGCACTCAAGGCTGGACTTGATGGGGAGAACTCTGATGTGGCATTAGTCACCCAAGTCAGAGTTTTCCCCATTTCTGACAGTGTCATAGTTTCTGGGTGCCTCAGCAGTGAGCGCAGAAGCTGACCTGCCAGGACATCCTATTCTGCTTTGTTTGGTTTTGGGTGGCACTAGAGTTTAAACTCCAGGCTTCCCTCTACCACTCTACCACCGAAGCCAGGCTCACCTGTTTTGGCTTTAGAGGGTTTTGGTTTTGGGGTTTATTTTTGGAAAGGGTCTCTTACTTTTCTCCAGAGCTAGCTTTATTTTTATTTTTTGTTTTTTGGGTTTTTTTTTTTTTTTGCAAGTCCTGGGGCTTGACCTCTGGGCCTGGGCACCATCCCTGAGCTTCTTTTACTCAAAACTAGTACTCTACCACTTGATCCACAGCACCACTTCTATTTATGTGGTACTGAAGAATCAACCTCAGGGTTTTGTGTGTGCTAGGCAAGCACTCTACCATTAAACTACAGTCCCAGCCCCCAGAGCTAGCTTTGGACTTTGATCCTCCTATCTCTGCTTCTTGTATTCCTTGGATAATAGGCATGTACTACCATAACCAACTTGGGAGTTAAGATGGGATATTGCTAACTTTTTACTTGGGCCTTGAGGCCTTGAAGCTCCATCTTCCCTATCTCTACCTCCCTAGTAGCCAGGATTTCAGGACAGTCTATTCTCAACTAGAATTAACTGCAGGGGTGCTACCTTGTAGACTGGGACATGATCAGGACACACTCATCCCTCCCATAGCCTGGAATGGGAAGTTCCAGTTCAGATATGATTACATATGCCAGCAGGACTTATTTGCTTTGTGTGTGTGTGTGTGTGTGTGTGTGTGCGAGCGTGCTTGCACACTTGAACTCAGGACCTAGGCACTATCCCTTAGCTTTTTTTGCTCAAGACTAGCACTTGAGCCACAGTTCCACTTCCAGCTTTTTTTGCTGGTTCACTGGAGGTAAGAGTCTCTTAAACTTTATATCCTGGGCTGGCTTTGAACCTTGATCCTCAGGTCTCAGCCTCCTGAATAAGTAGGATTACAGGCATGAACCACCGTGGTCAGCTTCTCCGGTGGCGAAGTCTCCACAGGAATTTCCCATCTGGACAAGCCATATATAGCTAACTCTGGTGCCACATATCAAACAAGATTTATAGCCCAGAGAAATTTATAAGTTTTCAATTGAAGTTGGGACCCTGGGAGACAAGACAGGAAGGAATTTTGTAACTGATTAACACTCCTAAATGAAAGAGGTTGGTGAAAAGAGTCTAATCTGTATGAGATTCATTCTTTCTCCTGAAATTTACTGATGTCTTCCAGGAGTCAGATTTAAAAGAAATAAATCAGAGCTCCACACAACAAAGCCATTGTTCACTATTTTTGAAAGCTCATCTTTAGATACTAATGACCCAAGACAAAGGCGAGCGGATGGGGAAACGCTTCTAATGATTAATTTATTTTCCAATTCATTTTTTGTTTTTATTTTCTGAAACTAGCCTTCTGGATAGAAATAATACCATGCAAAGCTCAAAACACCCCTTTGCATTTGTATTCTGAAACAAGATCAGGTTTGGCAGAAGCGATGAGACAAATCTTGGTTATTCTTGGCTGTTGTTGGCAGGCTTTTGTTTTTTTGTGTGTGTTTTGAATCCAGGTGGAATGTTCATTTTCATTTGCATCCATCTGTAGAGGGCTTGAGGTCACACTTGTCCCTACTGGTATCTGAGCCAAGCCATACGTGTTCTATTTTAGCCCATTAGGAGAAAGCTAATCATATTACTACAGATGCACTGTGTTTAAACATGGCCCTCCTAGAGCTCCGTACTTACATGCTTCTTGCCTCTCTCGCCCCACCTGTGCTGTTGAAGTATACACAGATATTATTTCTTGCACCTCAGCACATCGTTCATAATACAACTTGACTTGTTCAGCTAGCTGCTTCTGGAGGAAGGGATTATGGATCTACAAAAGGAAGATAGGATGAACAGAAATCATCAGATCCCACTGACTAATCTAGAAGGAGACAATCTATCTACTTCATTCTCCTGTGATACCACCACGGATCTTGTCTGAACACCTATCATGTGTAAATCAAGGTTATTACTTGGGTTCAAGGACACCTCTGGCTTCTTGTGACATCTTCCTCCTTTGTCAGGATTTCCCAGAGACCAGGCCTCTATCCTTTTCTTTGATCCTGCTATAGGTGGTCCCTAGACAATTGGATCTAACTTGGTCTACCTTCTCATACAGTGATGCCAATTCTGACCAGGCTGCGCCTGCTGCCTCCCACTTCTTTCTGCTTGACAAGCTCCTACTCAACCATCAAAAGCCCAGTAAAAGCACAATCAGGAGTCACTAGATAAAGCCATAGTTAGGACGCTACTTCTGGACACATTTCCCTACAGTACCCCTTCTGGCCTGCAGGTGCACACATGCATCTTCAAATGCTCAGACACATGCTCATGTGAGATTTAAAACCTGTCATGTGTTCTTTTGTGGCCTATCCATTGCAGGCCCAGAAAGGGAGCACTTCAGGAACAGGGGATCTGTCTTAACTCTGAGTTTCCAAATGTATCTTTGGGCCCAACAGAAGCTCATGAAATGAGCTTTGAACTCATGGTTTCAGAACTATGCCATTTGATTATAAGGTGTTGGTGGCTCAAGTCTGCAATCTTAACTACTTAGGAAGCTGAGACCTGAGGATTAAGGTTCAAAGCCAATATGGGTAGGAAAGTCCTGGCTCTTATCTCCAATTAATCACCAAAAAAAAAAACAGAAGTAAGAGTTGTGGCTCAAGTGATAAGAAGGCTGGTCTTGAGCAGGGACAGTGCTCAGACCCTGAGTTCAAGCCCAGGTTGGGTGCACACATACTCTATCCCCATAAAATTGCTACCATTTGAGCCATACCCCAGCCCATTTATTTTTTTTTTGCCAGTCCTGGGGCTTGAACTCAGGGGCTGGATACTTTCCCGGAGCTTCTTTTGTTCAAGGCTAGCACTCTACCACGTTAGCCATCGCACTATTTCTGGCTTTTTCTGTTTATGTGCTACTGAGGAATGGAACCCAGGGCTTCTTATATGCTAGGCAAGCACTCTATCTCTAAGTCACATTCCCAGCCCCAATTTTTTCTTTCCTTTGTCATTGCTGTTGTTGTTTTATACTGGGGTTTGAACTCAGGGCCTTCTGCTTGCTTCTCTTGCTTGCTGGCTGGTATTCTACCACTTGAGCCACACCTCCAGCCTGGCATTTTGCTAATTATTTTAGAGGTGGCCTCTAGCAAGCAGACTTTTCTGACTAGGCTGGCATTAAACTGATCTTCCAGATCTCAGATTCCTGAATGTGTTTTCTCTGAGTGGAGAATACAAAATACCACAGTACATTGTATGTACATAGCAAAAGTATGTCTTCTTATTAAAAACTTTTGGGTCCATTTTGTATAAATATATGTGTGCATATGTATGCTGATGCTATTAAATAGACTGTCTTCAAAAAATATTTAAAGCACCATTCCAATCTAGCTTAGTATCTAGCCCAGAGTCTGATGTGCAGTAGGTATTCAGTGTTTACTGCACAACCAAATGCATTTCCTCTTTCCACCTCCTAGAATTTTTACGATGTCTCTATAGGCAGAAGGACTTCCCATTTGTTCTAATTATGACTTTGCCTAGTGCTTTCTGCATTCTCCAGAATAAACCCTGCAGGTCAGGAACATGACAGAATGAAACTTCCAGAGAGTTATGTGGGGATTCTGATCTCCCTAATACAGCTGACAAAACAGACTCCCCTGAAGTTCTATGCTAGAGAGCCCCCTCCTCTGTCCCTCAGCTGGCTGGAGCCACCAGCAGCTACAAGGTCCCTTCATGGGTGGGAGCTCCTCAGGGCTCCAGAAGGGGTGGGCGGTACTTAGTCCTCGGCAGTTCAGGCCTCCGCAGCCAGCCCACCACAGCAGGAGCCCAAATCCCAGCTTCTGCAGAGAGCAGGAGACACCATCAAGATTTTAATTCGCTGGAGTATCTATCTCCTCTTGTGATACTTTAAATAATAGCGTATAAAAGAAGCTTTACCAAATAACTAAGATTCTCTCCTTTCATTAGCTTAATCACTAGATAGGCAACGGCCTGATAAAAATCTACTCTATAATTAAGCTAGTAGTTATTAAAACAGAGCAAGTAAATGGGTTCCATTTTATGAGTACTAAATGAAGCAAATGTGCACAGAAATCTATTATTGTATTGGCTGGGGGAAAGACCTCGGTATTAATTACGTTTGATGACTGAGCCCGTGGCTCAGGGGGCTGATCCGCTTGGGTAAATCTTTTGTTTACAGTGGGTTCCTTGCCTGTTAGTGGCCTACCCATCACCAATTCATCCCATAATTTTCTTCTTGGTGCCCCCCTTCCCCCGCCCCCCCCCCCAACTCACCTGATCAGGCTGGAGACTTCGCAGGCGATAGTACTTCAGAGGTCCAAAAAAACCTTGGATACCAGCCACATACCTGCTCCCGCCAATGATGAAGTATCCAGCTGTGTCGTTGTAATGGAAATCCTCCCGGAAGCTAGAGAAACACACACACACACACACACACACACACACACACAGAGGATCACTAAACTGTAATCAGATTATTTTAAAACATACTTTTCAGCCTATGGCTCACATCTATCATCCTAGCTGCTTAGGAGCTGATATCTGAGGATCATAGTTCAAAGTCAGCCCAGGGAAGAAAATCTGTGAGACTCTTATCTCCAATTACACCAAAAAGTTGGAAGTAGAGCTGTGGCTCAAGTGGAGAGCACCAGCCTTAAGTGAAAAAAAAAAAAATGTTAGCAGCTGGGTGCTAGTGACTCACACCTGTAATCCTAGCTAGGATCTCAGGAGGCTGAGATCTGAGGATTGAATTTCAAAGCCAGTCAGAAAATAAAGTCTATGAGACTCTCATATCCAATTAAACACCAAAAAAGTCAGAAGTGGAGCTGTAGCTCAAGTGATAGAGAGCTAGCCTTGAGCAAAAAAAGCCCAGGGACAATGCTCTGGGTTCAGGCCCTAGAATCAGTACAATCTGAAGAAGAAGAATGAGGAGGAGGTGGAGGAGGAAGAGAAGGATACATTAGTTTTCTGAGAAGGACTTGTGACATTTTTACACACGGGTCAAGATCTATGATCAAGCCCACTGACTTCACTGTGGCCTGCTCCTCAGCAGTCCTTATCAATAGTCTGCATTTTAAGCCTCTGCATTCACTTTCTCTATTTGCTCAATAAGTTTTTGTTTCTTGTAGAGTAAAATAATTTCAGTTAAAACTAACAATCACAAACAATTCTATCAGTTTCATTGATTGATCCATTTTCAGAATCAATATTCAGCCTGTGAGGTTGGCTGGGGTACACAGTGGCCACCACAGGGAACGTGGTGGTTGTCCAGGGCCCTGGAAGCAAGAGGAAGGATGTGGAAAATAGATGTTCTATGTGAAATGCCTGACACGTTCCTTGATGTGTTGTTTACATTCACCAAAGATTGGAAAACTCCAGGTGTCTAGAGGTAAGAGCTGGTACATCCATTCCTTCACAAAGCCCACAATGTGGCTGTTTATTATGCAGCTTAAGAAAGGCTCAGAAAGAACTGGAAAGATCTGCAAAACATCCTGTCCAATAAGAAATAAACATGCCAGGACAGGAGTAGTGGCTTACATTTGTAATCCCAGTTACTCAGGAGGTGAGTTGGGATTATCTACCAAAACAATCTTGCGTAGGCACAAAGTTAGCAAATACCCCATCTAAATCAATAAGCCAAAGTGGCCCTTGCCTGTGGTCTTAGTTACTCAGGAGGAATAGGTAGGAGAATTATGATCCAAGGCAAGTAAAAAAAAAAAAAAAAAAGACCTACCTGAAAAATCAAAAAAGGGCTGGGAGGGGATGGGGGGGATTACTCAAGTGGTAGACCTCCTGCCTACTGAGGACAAGGTCCTGAGTTCAAAGCTCAGCAGAGCAAATAGAATAAAATAGTACAGTAAAAATAAAGGGGCAGAACAGATTATAGTATCCATCTAAAAAAGAAATGTATGATTTTTTTCCCTGTATAAACTCTAGAAGTTTATATAAGAAAATAATAACAGGGCTGGGAAGGTGGCTCAGTGGTAGAGTGCTTGCCTTGCATGCCTGAGGCCCTGGGTTCGATTCCCCAGCACCACATAAGCAAAAAGAAAAAAGCCGGAAGTGGCGCTGTGGCTCAAGTGGTAGAGCGCTAGCCTTGAGCTGAAGAGCTGAGGGACAGTGCCCAGGCCCAGAGTTCAGGCCCCACAACCGGACCCAAAACAAAACAAAACAAAAATGAAAGAAAATAATAACAGTATTTCCCCATAGGATAGAGAATAACGCATCTAGACAAATGGGGAGCAGAGTTGAAGAGGAAAGAAACACATTTAGTTGTTTTTCCGTGATTATTACAACTTCCTTTTTCCCTTTGAAACCATGTGCACTTATTAGCTGTTTCAAAAATTAAAATAGAATGGATGGCCACGGTAGTACCAGAACATATGTGAGCAGCAGGGATGGACGTGGCCCAGGACAGGTGCCAGGTGAGAAACTAGGCAAAGGAGACAGAGCCAAGAAGCTCTGAGGGCAGATGGGAGCACAAGGAGAGAGAAGAAAATGCTAGGCAGGCCACCAGGAGCCGGGGGAGTGGAGGAGGCAAAGGGCCAGGGTGACAGCAAGATAAACACACAGTTGGATCTGGGAAGTCAGACAACCAGGGTCACTCCAGGACAGGGGAGGGACTGACTGCGGCTGAGCAAAGACCACAGTCCCGGCTCTCACAGGTGCACCAGGCTGGAGAGGAGGCAGGTAAGGGAAAGTGAAAAGTCCGCACCTCCTATGCATTAGTGTACACTAACACAACTCAAAGGAAAGGAAGGACTTCTCTTGGAGGTATTTATCCTTTCAGAATCTCAACCTTGAAGACTAGAAGAAGTGTCTTCCTTTTTTTTTTTTTTTTACACTCCTCCCTCTTCCCCCTCCAGCCTCTCAGGAGGGAAGACAGACTTATTAAGTCTGAACAAAACTGACTCTCTTTTCCAAGACCTTGAAAAGACTCAAACATTCTATTCTACCAACTCTCGGGAGACAGGTCCTGGCACTGGATACAAGGTTTTTGCCGTAGAAGCAGAAATGGCTTCCATTTAACCAACCTAGTGGTTTACCAAGGTCCCATCTCCTCTGCCCTGCAGCCTAGGACATGATATGATCCAGATACTGGCTGCACCTCTGGTGACTTCATCTCCCCACTTTAAGAATGGAAATAGTAGCTGGGTGCTGGTGGCTCCCACCTATAATTCTAGCTACTTAGGAGGCTGAGTTCTGAGGATCATGGTTCAAAGCTAGCCTAGGCAGGAAAGTCTGTGAATCTCTTATTTCCAATTAACTACCAAAAAAGTCAGAAGTGGAGGTGTGGTTCAAGGGGTAGGATGCTAGCCTTGAGCAAAAGAAGCTCAGGGTCAGAGGCCAGGCCCTGAGTTCAAGTCCTAAGTCACACACACACACACACACACACAGCGCACCCAAGTCCTGAGTTCAAGCCCCAGGAAACAGTAATAACACTTGCGTATTTGGCTATTGAGGCTAAATCAATGACAGGTTGAAATGGATAAACTATTTAGAATCAAAAGTCTTCTAGATTGTGGAGATATTTTGGGGGGTTTGGGAGTATTTGAATAGGTTCTAATGGCTGAGTAACTCTATTCAGAATATCCAAATCCCAAGTGCTCTGAAATCAAACTCTTTTTTTTGGTCATGGGGCTTGAACTCTGAGTCTGGCGCTGTCTCTGAGCTCTTCAGCTCAAGGTGAGTGCTCTACCATTTGAATCACAGCGCCACTTCTGGTTTTCTGGTGGTTAATTGGAGATCAGTCTCACAGACTTTCCTGCCCGGGCTGGCCTTGAACCTTGATCCTCAGACCTCAGCCTCCTGAGTAGCTAGGATTATATAGGCGTGAGACACCGCCACTTGACTTAACTGATGTTTTTCAACCAACAAGAAATTACTTGGTCCCTATGGCACTGGACTATACTTTTTAAGTTGTCATTATTATCAGCCATCAGGAGATCTGTCTGATGGTGTCCTCCAGCTCTAGGTTGATGTTCCCACTTAGTCTTCTGAAATTCCTCTGTGTCTGTACAAAGATTACAAGAGAATCCCTTGTACTGTGCATTGTTAGATGGTCATCAATTCTGTTGACATAAAAGCTAAGCAACATTCTTTCAAAGCCCAAACTGGTCTCTTTTGAAAATCTCAGCTATACCAGCAAACTATCTTTTCCTCTTATCTGGACACAGAGTGCCCTGCTTTATTACCGCCCAGCACCAGGGGTCCAAAAGATTCATAGACATTGTCAGGCAGGCCCCACTCAGAATCAAGAAACAGATCTGTGTGAGTGGGGATGGGAGGAAAAAACTGGGAGGGTGCAAGCGGGGTGATATTGTCCAAAGGGAAACATACTCTTTACTTTTATAACTGTAACCCCTCTGTACGTTACTTTTATAATAACTATAAAAAATTCAAAAAAGAAAGAGTCGGATCTAGTGGAAAACTTTGAGCCTCAAAATAGCTGCCCTCCATCACTGATGTAACTATAGTTCACAGTGCCACTTCCTCAAGACTTGGTCAAAAGTTTAACCTACTAGAGATTCTCCCAAGCTACCCTGTTTGTTTTCTTCTCAGTGATTTTTCCAACTTAAAATTTTAATTGATTTGTGAATTTTCTATCATCTTTGTTCCTCAGCTCCCTGAAGGCAGGAACTGTATTCTTTTTGTTTATTATGTTATTCTCAGAATCAAGCACTGTGTCTGATACATGATGTATGCGCAACAAATATATGTTGAATGAGTGGGTCGATGATGGATCAAAGAATTATAGAGGAAGGATAAATGGATGGATGGATGGATAGGTAAGTGGGTGAATAGATGGATGGGTGGGTGGATGATAAACGGATGGATAGATAGATGGGTGAGTGAATGAAACGATGAATGAATGGATAAATGGGTGGATGGATGATAGATGGATGGTAGATAATGGATAGATGGAGAATAGAAGGATGGAAAATGGATAGATGGATAGAAGGTAGAGGGATGATAAATGGATGGCAAATGATGGGTAGATGGTGGATGTTGGATGGATGGATAGATGGATGTTGTTCCTGTCATTGAGTGTTACTGACAGCCTTTTTCCTGAGCACTTTCTTTCATGGTCTTCTAACACCACCTTTGTAGGGCAGAGCCAACATCATGTTTATATTGCAAGAACAAATGGAGCATATAACACTTTCCTGAGAACATCTCTGACCAGAAAGCCTGAACTATTTGATGTTCACTTCACTGGCTTGGCTCACTATGAAAATGGGGCTCCGGCAAAGCTGAGAGTCCAGGTCTCTAAGCCTAGGAGCCCCAGGACAGATCTTTACTCTGGTAGGACTGGCTGGACTCTAGCTCTTCTGCTGTTGGGGGTGGGGTGCAGAAGTGCAGGCAGGGCCTCTGAGGTGGTGATAAAGTATACTTGGGTCCACTATTGCCTGCATCACCTGTGAAGATTTCACTGAGATGCTAAAGAGATATCACCTCTCCCCAATCAGACCTGGTTTCTTCAATAGTCATCTTAATCCCAGCTTTACTTCAAAGTTTGATATTTTACTTGCCACTGAGTCTTTACACCCATTTTCTTGGTAAAACTGTATTCAAATGTTGTGCTATCATGACTCGTATTGAGTGGAATTGCCCTCTCTGCACCTGCCTGCCATATGCTGAAGTCTGAAGTCCTGTGAATTAGACTATGACCTCAGTTGCTAGTACAATCATTGCAAATGCAGTAAGTTAAGGTCATGTTGGAGTCAGATGATCTCCATATGACAAACATTCTTATCAGAAAGGACATCAGGATATAGACACATGCACAGGAAGATCCCAGATGGACGATGCAGTTACACTGCTCCATGGAGCCAGAAGAGAGGCCAGGAACCAATCCTCTCCTAGCACCTTTAGAGAGAGAACAGGCCTGCACAACCATGATTTTGAACCTGTGGCCTCTAGAAATAGGAAGATCAGGTTCGGTTCCTGAAGACATTTGGCTTCCGGATGCCCCCGTTTTGAGCTTTCTGGTACTCCCCAAAATGCTATGTGGAAGGCATGTCTGTCAGTCACCTCACCCGGTCCCCATCCTGTCACCATCCTGTCCCCCTCACTCACTCACATCAGCCTCCAGGCTTCTGGAATTTCAGAGGCGACGAGGCCCTTACATGAGAAATAGAAAGGAGCCAGTGATATTTGATCAGTTGTCAAACACATCCTTAGGTTGGAGTGGGTGGCAGGGGAAGGGGAGAAGCTACTATTTTAGACTTCACATCCTAAAATAAAAACCCTCAGTTCCTAGAGTTTCACAGAATATGGCTCTAGGAGGGATTTCCAAAGGAGCCGAAGATCTTGTTTTTCCAGTGAGAAGTCTCTAGCCTCTGCAGTCTTGAGTTTGTCACCGAAGACTCAGAGCCCGCTACACAACTAAACGCGGCTGTCTGCTGAACGTCTTTGCTGACCTTGGAGCAGTATAAGGCATTTGCTCTGGCCTGGCCCCTCTTCTATGCTTCACTGGAGTGATCAAGTCGTTCTCTGACCTTCTCCTTGCAGGCTAAGTGGCAACGCTTCTTTAGCCTGCCTATAAACCTCTAATCCTCTAATCCAGCCAGGAAAATAAGAATTGTTCTAAGTGCCCAGAGTCCAAAAGAAATCAGTTTGACTTAAATGTAAACAGGAATGGCTTAAAGAAGAGAGAGAGGGAAAGAGAGACAGAGACAGAGAGACACATACAGAGAGAGAGAAAGAGAGAGAGAGAGAGAGAGACAAAGAGATGTTCCTCTATTCCTACCTCTGCCCTCCTGTGCCTTATTTCTTTAAGAATCTGACAGAAGTTGGGTTGGGTGAGACATCATACTTTGATCCTGCACGAAAGGCATCTCTGAATGAAAGCAAGCCAAAAAACCACTTCCCCATACGAAGTTCCAAGCTGGCTAGACTTTTTTTTTTTTGTTTTTATTTTTGTTTTGGCCAGTCCTGGGGCTTGAACTCAGGGCCTGGGCACTGTCCCTGAACTTCTTTTGCTCAAAGATAGCACTCTATCACTTGAGCCACAGTGCCACTTCCGGCATTTTCGGTTTATGTGATACTGAGGAATCAAACCCCGAGCTTCATGCATGCTAGGCAAGCACTCTACCACTAAGCCACATTCCCAGGTCCAGACATTTTTTTAAGTCATATATTTAAAATCTGGTAATTTTTAATTCTGATCTTTACACTTACGAACATTTAGTTATACATTATTACCTAACTATAGCGGGACATTGCAAATTTCTGTTTTTTTTTTCTTTTTCATTATTATTAATTTCTTTTTGTGCTGATTCTGGAGCTTGAACTCAAGCCCTGGGTGCTAACTGCTATCTTTTTTGTTTTGTTTTGTTTTGTGCTGGTCTTAGGAGTTATCTCTGAGCTTCTTTTTCTCAAGGCTAACATTCTACCACTTGAGCCAGAGTTCCACTGCTGGCTTTTTTGGCGTAGTTTATTGGAGATAAGAGTCTCATGGATGTTCCTATTTGAGCTGGCTTTGATCCATCAGCCTCAGAGCTCAGCCTCTTGAGTAGCTAGGATTACAGGTGTGAGCTACCAGTGTCACCCTGGGAATTGCAAATTACTAATGAAGGTGTTTTTGTGGTTCTGACTCTGTAAAAACCCCCATTACAAACACGTAGAGAGCAAACTAAAAAAAAATTATGAAGCAAAGGCAAGGAATCCAGTTCTCTGTTGCAGTAATCTTGGAGAGAACAGTTCTACAAGGATGAAAAGTTACTCTAATATCAATAGTTGCACACATTTCAAATCTAGATTATGATCATAAATATGGAGGCTGTCTGCTTTTATGTTTTACACCAAGCCAAAGTTACCAACCATTCTCAATAAGCAACATTAATACTTTGATTTATATTTTGCTGAATCCTTTGTAGAAGATAATTTTCAAAGAAAATGAATTATGAAGTGCCTTGAAAGGAAGAATTTACAATGAGAGCTGGAGAGAGAACTAGTTTCTATTGCTTAGAAATAAAAAAAAAAAAAGGTTGTGGGAAAAGTAGGGTGAGTTTATGCCTAGTGAAAGAAATAATAAAAAAAGGAACAAAGCCTAGCTACAGGGCAGGGAATAGTCTATGCATGGAAAAGCTGAATTAGGTGTATAGAATAATATTAGTTTTGAAGGCTCAAGTGTGAAGATCCCTTAGCCCTTGACTAGGCCAAGATGAAAAAAGACAAAACAAACAAACAAAAACGAAACAGTTCACACTCATTAGCTAAGTACCAGTGGCTCATGCTGTAATACTAATAATTTAGGAGTCTAAGATCAGGAGGATCATGGTTTGAAACTAGCCCAAGAATATATATGAGATCTCTTCTCAACCATTGCTGGGTACAGGTGCACTTGTCATTCTAGCTACATGGTAGGCTGGGATTGGGAGGACTATGCTTCCAGATTACCCCAGGCGGGAGAGTCCACGAGAGTCTATCTCAATGGAAGAAGCTGGTCATGGTAGTTTGCTCCTTTCATCCTAGCTTTGACAATAAGCAAAAAATAAGAGGACCACAGTTCAGATACATGTCTGGGCAGGAAACAAGGTCCGATCTCAAAAATATAGTAACCAGTTGACCAAAGGGATGAAGTGTATCTCAGAGGTACAGTGCCTGCCAATCAAGTGCAAGGCCCTGAGTTCAAACGCTAGTACTACCCATACAAATACTGCACTTACCTAATGGTCTGATTATGATGGCTTTTCAAGTCCTGGCCAAGGCTGGTGGTCACCATTATCTACATTGGAAGAGAGATACAAGGATCAGTAATCTCCCATTACAAACAGAGTCTTCGATATAAATTACTCATAAAAAATGCTCGTCTTTCACCTGATCCGTTTCTGTAAAAATAAGCTCAACAGTTTACTAGCCCTGTACATATTTTAAGACTTAACAAATGTAACGTCCCTAAATGGCTTGGTTAAAAATATCTACAGCGTAGTTTCTGCCAATGGCTTTCAGATGCTTTCAAACTCCAAGCCAAAGGTTCATTTGATGTGTCTGGGCTTACAAGCTTGTTTCAAGAAAAGACAAGGAAATGTGTGTGATACCACAAGGAGGTTTTGAACTTTACTCTGATTCCCTAAGAGCCTTAGGGATAGAAATAAGATTGTGACTGGATGTCCACACTCTGTTCTTCCTACTTCCCTTTCCCTAAGCACAAAGAATCATCACTCTTGTTCAGCAGGGACAGTGTTTCTGTCATGAATGCTGTTTGTGGTCTCATCTGGATCTTTCTTGTGCTGTGACTTATAAGTTAAGTCCATGGACTTACAAGCTACTTTTATTTCTCCAACATTTCCATACAAATCATTGAGCAGCCAGACACTGGTGGCGCAGGACTGTATTTCTAGCTACTAAGGAGGTTAAAATCTGAGAATCACAGTTCAAAGCCAGATTATGAGACTTTTATCTCCAATTAACCAATAAAAGACTGGGAGTGATTGTAACGACTTACCTAATAGTTTGTACAAGACACTATGTTGAAAACGAACTTTACAATTGGCGGGGTTGGGAGGATGGGAGGAGGTGGTGGGGAGGGGAGAGGGAGGGGCAGAGTGGAGTTGTGGCTCAAGTGGTAGAGCTCCAGCCTTCAGTGAAAAGCTACAGGACAGCCCTCAGGCCCTGAGTTCAAGCCCTTGTACTGGCACACACACAAAATCACTGAGTAGATTTCCTAGTTTCCCTTTGTTTTCTTCAGAAAACAAAGAGTAGAAACCAACCCAAACCACCAATGCAGCGTGCTTTAGGGAGAGCAGATAGAACGGAAAGGAAAACAAATAGGCAAAGTCTTCCTACACAGAAAAACTCTTTGTTTTCTCTTCACCTTTCTGGCCTCCTAGCTTCTCTTCCACTTTACCCCACATATTCATCTTTCTAAGGGATTTTTTTTATACTGCTCAAAACTTCTCCAAGATGCCCAACTGCCTTATAAACGGAAGAATGAATTCCCTGATACTCAAGATTCTCATATTCTAGCCTGAAAGATATACTTGTTAGGTTTTATTGTTTTGTTTTAAATTTTTGTTTTGGTGCCAGTCCTGAGGCTTGAACTCAGGGCCTGAGCACTGTTTCTGAGCTTTTTTACTCAAGGCTAGCACTCCACCACTTGTATCACAGCCTCACTTCTGGCTTTTGGGTGGTTAATTGGAGATAACAGTCTCACAGACTTTCTTGCCTAAGCGGGCTATGAACCTCCATCCTCAGATCTCTGCCTCTTGAGTAGCTAGGATTACATATGCCAGCCTATTATGTTTTTTATAATATGCAATTTTCTAATCCAGTGACTTCAGTTTGTATGTGACCCCCAACTAAATTCACTTCTTGAAAGCTTACTCCCTAAATTCATGTTAATGGTATTTGAAAGTGGGGCTTTGGAGAAGTGTTAGTGACAGATAAGGCCATGAGGATACGGCCCCCATGATGGTATTAGTGACTTTATACAAAGAGGAAGAAACACACCAGGACGGGGGCTCCATCCTTATGCTCCTACTCTCTAGCCCTGTTGGGATGCAGGAAGAAGGCCCTCAGCAGATACTGACACTTGATGTTGAACTTGTCATTTCTACTGCTGTGAGAAAAGAACTCCTTTTATACAGAATATCTTGATATTCTGTTGTAGGCAGGTGCCAGTGGCTCACTCTTATAATCCTAGCAACTTGGGAGGCTGAGATGCGGAGGATCAGGATTCAAGGCCAGCCTGGGCAGAAAAGTTTGCTAGATATCCTGAAAAACTGCTTATTCTTTTCTCCATCTAAATTCTTCTCCCCAAACCTAAAGATTTTGCTCACAAAACCTCCTCCAACATGAAAAAACTGTCTCCCTTCTGGAAATCAATATGAATCATTTGGCAATTAAACTTGTCTTGTGACTTCTCTTCACGTGCTTAATGTTGCTTCCATAAATAGTCTATAGGCAACTGGAGCCTAATGCTTTACATACAGCAGGTGCAAAGTAAGATGTGTGAATGTGCTCTGAAGACCGGATGGATGCCTGCCTCGATGACACGCAGCACTCCATAGAAAAGAGCAGCCGGGCACCACCACCGTCATCAGCCTCCAGACACCAAAGGGAAATCGAGGACCACAGCGAAGTCATCTCACAGTTTTAAGGAAATATTTATATACCCCAGAACACTCAGCTATGAAGACTGCGAAAGCCTTCTTGGGAAGGCAGCAAGAACTGGCTTGATTTATTTTTCTCTTTAGAAAAAAAAGGAAATGTGATCAACCCCAAGCATCAGGGGAAAGCTGTGTAGTATCTAATATACAAGAACAAACAAAACGCCTCTTCCAGTTTTGTTGCAGGAAAATCACAAATCAATAAAGAAAGCTGATGAGAAAAATAAAGTAACCAGAAAAGAAGATGGAAAAAAAAAAACAAAAACGTACGCTGGCTTTGGGTACAGGAATAAATGGATTTGTCTTCAATTATAACAACAGATTTGCCATCATCCATAAAATCTGTGTTATGGGAGTTTGGAACAGTCAGTTTTTACATATAAAGCAGATAAAGATCCTCCAACCTACTAGGGTTTACCATTATTACAAGTGCATTTAATGCCAAATACAAGTAATTGTTTCAACTAACACACACACACACACACACACACACACACACACACACACACAGCAATCCAACCATTTTTCAGCTGAATGAAGCCAATAAATTTCCTTTAAAAAAAAAAAAGTCCTGGCTCTGATCACACAATGTAAACATGGCTGATGCAGTCTTCACATCAATCCCTTCCACATCTATCTCCCTAGGGGAAAAGGGCCTAGATTTGCTCAGATAATTGTGTCTCAAGAGCAGCTAGATTATTTACTCATTCACGCCATAGTCGAAAGAAGCACTTTAAAAGTTAATTAAATGGGATGAGATTCTGATGATTGAAACTTCCGTCTATAAAAGTTTGATTTAGCCAAGTGCAGTGCTGTAAAGAGGTGTCATTTACTGCAAAATTGCTGGCAAATTTGGTTACTTTCTGGCTCTATAGCTGTTGCTTAAGTGGAAAGGAAAACGGCACCATGATTTGAGATGAAGCATGCCGGTAGATACCTGGCCTCCATGGAAAGAGATGTCCAGGAGAAACCACTCCTTCAGAGGTAAGGTGAATTTGGTTTTAACAGCCAGGTCTTCTCCTTTGACAAGGTGCATCTGAATATGCAAATAACCTAAAAAGAACAGGACAGGTCATGAAAATGAAGAACAAAAATGAGCACCTCTTAGAAGTAAACAGCTACGTCTTTACAATTGTCCTAAGAAGCTCGAATACTATGTTCTGTTTTCCCTTTAAACAAACGAAAAGCAAAAGCTGGGTGTGGTGATGTATACCTGTAATCCAGCACTCAAGAGTCTGAGGCAGAAGTACTGCACGTTCTTTAAATTCTTTTTTTTTTAAGTTTATTATAAAGGTGATGTGCTGAGGGGTACAGTTACTTAAGTTAGGTAATGAGCACATTTCTTTTTGAACAATATGGAGTGCAAGTTTTTGATCAGTCTGGACCAACTAGCAAGACCCAATCCTTTAAAACCCACAAGCAAAAACAAAAACAAAACAACAAAAGTAAAAATGCATTTATAAACAACACATTTATTTTAAGCTTCTAGGAAAAAAACATAAAGGTTTCATTTGAAGCTCACATTTGGTTCCCTGTGGTCTTTATTTTGCATAAAAAACAACCCATCTCTGTTTTTTCCAAATCAAAAGAAAACAAAGAGACTTGGCAAACAATCCCAAGCCCAAGAGCCATCTCGATTTTCTCAATTTATATTCTCAAACTGTCCTTGTCTTAACTCCATAACCTTTTTTGTAACTTCTTTTTACTGTGTCTTCCCAAAATAATTACCTTGGTTTTTTTTTTGTTTTGTTTTTGTGTGCCAGCCCTAAGGCTTAAACTCTGAACTCTGCCCTTTCATTTAGCTTTTACACTCAATGCCGGTATTCTACCACTTGAGCCACACCTCCACCTCCAGCTTCTTGCTGGTTAATTGAAGATTTGTCTGTCCAGGCTGGCTTCAAACTGAAATCTTCAGATCTCAGCCTCCTGAGTTACTAGGATTACAGCTAGGGGCCACTGACAGTTGGCTGAATTTGGATTTTATAGAAGGACTTCATTTTTCTTGCCCAGTTTAATTTTACTGGATTTCATATTTAAGTAACTGGTATGATTGAGATACAGTCTGGAGCTAGTGGCTCATGCCTGTAATCCAGCAACAAAAGGCTGAGATCAGAGGATCCCAGTTCATAGCCAGCCTTGGCAAGGAAGTCTGTGAGATTCTGATCCTCAATTAAGCTCCAAAAATGCTGCAAGTGGAGCTGTGGCTCAAGTGGTAGAGCATTACACACACACACACACACACACACACACACACACACACACACACACAGAGTAAACCATACAATTTATGTACTTATGTACTTACTATCCTACATTGACAAAATCCTCCTTGTTCTAGACAGACGCATCTGCTAACAGACAGCGGATAAGAAAATGACAGCATCACTTTAAAGGTTCTGTTTACACTCACCCTCTTCAGTAAGGAATATGGAAGGAGTGCCATACATCTCATCAGCATCCACAAAGTACAGAATCCCACAGAGATTGGCCTTGCAATAATGGAGTAAATAAAGCCACAACGAAACAGTAAACCTGAAGGAGTGAGGGAAAAAAAATAATCTGTAGATTTATATCATCCAAGAATGGGTAATTACAGTTAACAATGGCCAAGTAAATTGCTTTCTTTGCCTTAGTGTTCATCGTGGGAGATCCGCTTGCAAAGCCTGATATTGTGAGACAAAAGTAGCAGTCCTCATAACTACAGACACAGGACTTAAGCTTCATCAGACGAGGCCAGTAGACATTCTAACTCTTCCTTGCCTCCTGGAGTATCTCACATGCTTGCTATTTGAATTCTTGATTAAAGCTAATAAAGCCCAGACATCAAATAAAAATATGGATTTTAATAAGAGGTGGTTTGATAAGAAGCTCTTCTAATATGTATGATTAAGAGAAAAAACACAATTAGGGATTCTTAGGCAATTTTGTTTCTTTCAAAGATAAAAGCCCTAAGGTAGAACAATGTAATAATCGGCAAATAGCTTCCTTACAGGAAAACTGGACCTACAGAAACATCTTAGTACTTGCTTCAGGTTGTTCAGTCTTGGGTGTCTGGCTAGCCAAGATGGGGCTATTTCAATTGCAAACACACATCTGTGATTTGTGGAGCTACTTAACTAGTACATGCTTAGCCAAGCTACGTGTGATCCATCAAGTGACTCAGAAAATACTTGAACACTTGTTTTAGGCCACACATTACACCACGGCCAATAATTCAAAGATAAAGAGCTGGGAATGGATTCCTATTCCATAGGAAACACACAAGTCAAGGTCAAAGGCAAGCAGAATCAAGGTCAAAAAATACATCAAGTTCTCTCCATTTTCCTCTGGAGCCAATTCAGTTTGGAATAAAGTATCAGTAGCTCTGGGGTTCTTTGGGGATATATCCAAACAAGTCCTTTAGAATATTCTTGGCTTTATAATGCAGCCTCAAAATCAGGGACACGATATGCAAACAGATGGTGTCCCAAAGCTCCCTCCTGACCCGCCCAGCTGAGCAAGCTCATGACGACAAGTTATTACAAGGAAGCTTAGCAAGAACATACGCTCAGTAAAGTGAGTCAAGATCTTCCTGCAGCCGGCAGCATGGAAGAATTAAATCACTTTGCTAAATCCATCTGATCTGAGGTGAATCAGGAACCATATTCGGCATTTCCAATTCAGCAGAAGGCAAAAATAGATATATGTGGATTTTGCCCAAATCAATGGATGGAGATCGGAAGCTGGGAGATTTCTAGCAGCTCATCCAGTAGAACAGAACAGGCAAAAACCAAGGCCACAGGTCTGTGCTGGCTTGGGCCAGCTACCCTGGAAACCTTGTAAGTTCTCTACATGGGGAACCCCTTGACCTGCTCACTTCATTCCAGGGACTGAAATATAAAGGCAAATGGAGGGCTTCCAACCCTACCTTCCAGGTCCACAGGTCTCTCTGCACATTTGTGCTGAATATTAGATCTGAACATTTGAACAAAGCACCTGGCCAAGCTGTGTCCTTTTAAGCAGTTCTTCCACTAGCCAGCTTGGACTCAGATAAAAGAGCCCTGCCACATGGCACTGGAATCCTGCTACTCAGGAGGCTGAGACCTGAGGATCTGAGTTCCAAATGAGCCTGAGAAGGAAAGTCCCTGAGATTCTTATGTTCAAATAACCACCAAAAACCTGAACGTGAAGGTGTAGATCAAATGGTAGAGTGCCAGCCTTGAGCAAAAAAGAGGTAGTGCTCAGGCTCTCAGCCCAAGCCTCAATACCAGCACACACACACACACACACACACACACACACACACACACACACACACCCCAAACCCAAGAAACAATTCCCATCAAACCAGCCCCCCAGAGTCGCCCACCCTTACACGGGGTAGTCTGTCCGCTGGCATCGGGTGGCCTCCAGCTCTCGGTTCTGAAACCTCAGAAGCTTCTTCACGATGCCTGTGTTTTCTCCACTGGAGGCATAGGGAAAGGCAAGGAGGGTAGCCTCATCTGAAAACAGCAAAGGAGTCAGCATCCATTAGCTCTAGGAAAGCATGCCTCTCCAAATCACGCTCCCTGGGCCCCTCTGCCCAGCTGCTATCAAGCATATAAATGTAATCGCCTAGAAATTCAAGCAAATGTTCATGGTACACTAAATACAAGCCAGGAACAATGCCATACAAGCCTATTCTCTCTCGTTTTTCTAACAACCCTATGAGTCTGGATTCTATTATTAGCCCTGTTCTACAGATGGAATGTCCAAGGTTAAGTTCACAAAGTTTAACAGTGGCAAAGTCAAATTTCAGGTCTCAAACTCAGGTTTCTATTTATTTGGGGGTTAAGAAACCACCACCATAGGGCTGGGAAGGTGACTCAGTGGTAGAGTGCGTGCCTGAAGCCCTGGGTTCGATTCCTCAGCACCACATAAGCAAAAAGAAAAAAGCTGGAAGTGGCGCTGTGGCTCAAGTGGTAGAGCGCTAGCCTTGAGTTGAAGAGCTGAGGGACAGTGCTCAGGACCAGAGTTCAGGCCCCACGACCGGACCCTCCCCCCCCCCCAAAAAAAACAAGAAACAACAACAAAAAAAATGTTTTTTAACCAGGTGCTGGTGGCTCATACCTGTCATCCTAGGTACTCAGGAAGCTGAGATCTGAGGATCCCAGTTCAAAGCCAGCCAGGGCAGGAATTTTAACCAACAGAAAGTGGGAAATGGAGCTGTGGCTCAAGTGGTAGAGCACTAGTCTTGAGCAAAAAAGCTAAGAACAATACTGAGGCAAGCTAGTACTGGTGAGTGTGCTCACGCACGTGCACACGTGTGCCCAGGCATGAACACACACGGGTGTGCGCGCACGCACACACACACACACACACACACACACACACACACATAATGGTTTATATGCCAGGCAAATGCTCTACCACAGAACTACATCCCAAGCATTGTTTTAGTTTGGTTTTGGTGCGAAGTTTCCAGAAACACTGAGCACATTGCCCTACATAAAAGGGACTAACAACTACTCTTACAGCAGGTTCACAATCCTGGGAGATTTCTGTGGTTCTAGAAAACACAGGATGCCCAACTATTATCACACAAGGAAAACTGAATTCTTTCAGTTCCGTATTCAATACTTATTTCAATGAATAAGGCTAAGTATACATTTTCTTTTTTCCATATTTCCCCCACCAAAGAAAAAGGATTCTATGGCTCCTGCCTGTAACACTACCTATTCAGAAGACTGTGATCTAAGGATCATGGTTCAGAGCCAGCCTGGGCAGGAAAGTCCATGATACTCTTATCTCCAATTAGCCACCAGAAAACTAGAAATACCATTGGGGTTCAAAGTGGTATAGCACTAGTCTTGACCAAAAGAGCTTAGGGACAGAGTCCAGGCTTGAGTTCCAGCCCCAAGCTACATCACTGACCAAAAACAAACAAACAAACAAGTATACTTTTCTTCGTGGGGCTTGAACTCTGGGCCTGGGCGCTGTCCCTCAGCTCTTCAGCTCAAGGCGAGCGCTCTACCACTTGAGCTACAGCGCCACTTCCGGTTTTTTGGTGGTTTATTGGAGATAGGAGTCTCACGGTCTTTCCTCCCCGGGCTGGCTTTGAACTGCGATCCTCAGATCTCAGCCTCCTGAGTAGCTAGGATTACAGGTGTGAGCCACCAGTGCCTGGCTACTTTTCTCTTTCTTAAAATGTTTCTTGAGGCCAGGTGCTGGTGGCTCATGTCTATAATCCTAGCTACTCAGGAAAGTGAGATCTGAGGATCGTGGTTTAAAGCCAACCTGGGCAGAAGAGTTCATGAGACTCTTATCTCCAGTTAGCCACCAAAAAAAGAGCAATACTCATTTTAAAAAGTTGAAAAAACAATGTTTCTGGGTTTAACCATTCATAATTAATTGATGGAAGCTTCCATTTTCCTGAGCTTCACAGTAGAAGAGTTAGCTCACCAAACACCAATATTGGCACAAATTATGGGGCCCTCTGCTTGGGGCACTAGCCATTCCAGCTCTCATTTCCCAAAAGGAAACAAGAAATTTTACTAAGTAGAGCAGTACCTTTGGTTTAATATAATTTGGAAATCGTAAGAGCAGTTTGGAGAATCTCAGGCCCTTGTGTATATATTTAATAAGATTAAATAAGCCAGTGTTCCCTCAGTGCCTATAAATGTTCTTAAAGATGTATATGAAGACCCAAAAGGGTAGAATAATCAGTTCCAACAGAAACACTTAGCAATTTTTTTATTTGAGCTCACTTGGGCACATTGGACTTGCTGGTGTGTTTTGGTGGTGGAGATGGGATTTAGCAGAAATTCTGCAAAGGTGTCATTGGAATCTGAGGGAGAGATTTCCCAGAAAGGGTGACAATCAGTTCAACATTGGTTTGCCTTCCACCATGCTGAATGAAGCAGGAGAGACCAGACGGGCACGTTAGACCCCAGAAGGCATTCTGAGAGTGATGGTAATCTAAAATAATTTTACAAAAACATTTCTTTCCTACCCAACAAAGCTAAAGTAAGAATCATTTTCTTGTAAAATCTGTAGTTTCAATAATCTAATTTCAGACTTCTGTGGTAGTCTCCCTAGGTATAATATTGTCTGTTATAATCCGAAGTTCTGAATGCCATTTTGGAATGAGACTTTTTAATTCATCTAGCCCAACATAACATTTAGACTATTGTCTAGTAGCTGATTACAACTGCTAAGAAGGCTATAGAGATATTCCTTAATGGTGGGGCTACAGTCCAATAAATGGGAGTGGTAAAACTTAAGTATCAAATACAAATTTCATACACCTAGCCTACCAAATGTCATAGCTTAGCCTGTCCTAACTTACTTCAAATATGCTCAGCGCTGGACGTGATGGTTCAAGCTTGTAATTTCAGCTTTTTGGGAAGCAGAGATCAGGATATCATGGCTGAGGCCAGCCAGAGCATAGGTTTATAAGACTCCATCTCTAGCAATGGCTTGGTGGAGTGGCTCAAGTAGTAGAACGTCAAGCATGAAGCTCTCAGTTCAAACTCTATAAAAACTCCAATAAAAAAAAGAAGTCTTACAACATGTACATTTGCCTACCGTTGGGCAAAGCCTATATTACGGTAAAATATTAACTGTCATATAATTTATTGAATACTATCCTCAAAGTGAACTGCCAAGGCCCTACTGTCCAAGGTAACCCCCTTTCAGGTTAGAGCTGTGGGGCTTCTTTCTTTGGCACTAAGTATAGCACTCTCATAAAACTAATTATAGATCCCAATCCTTCCTGCTTGCTAACTACTCTGTGTGTGTGTGTGTGTGTGTGTGTGTGTGTGTGTGCTGGGCCTGGGGTTTGAACTTAGGGCCTAGGTGCTATCTCTGAGCTTTTGTGCTCAAGGCTAATGCTTTATCACCTGAGCCACAGCTCCACTTCTGGCTTTTTGATGGTTAATTGGAGTTAAGAGTATCCAGGACTTTCTTGTCCAGGGTTCTCTTTGAGCTGTGATGCTCAACTCTGAGCCTCCTGTGTAGCTAGGATTACAGGTGTGAGCCACGGGCTCCAGCTTGCTAACCACTTTTAATCTCATTCCTGGTGGGGGAAACCCCGAGGCCCATTTTCTAGGTTAGCCAAGGGATTCAAAACCTTGTCTGGGGAAGGTCCTTTCACCATGTGACACAGACTTAGTCAGACTGAACTTCAAACTGAGCCCAGAATGAAGCTGAGCTCAACCTTCATCTTGCGTGTGGAGAAGTTAGCTAGACTCCCAGGGAGGAATCACTGTGTCTAAGTCTGTGATTGCAACCTGGGGGCAGAGAAAGTACAGTCTTTCAACTTGAGAAGTGCAGCCCAAAAGCCCAGGTAACTCGATAATGCTCTCCAAACACAGGACATTAAAAAGGCAGTAGCGATCGGATGTTTTATTGCCTTTAAAGCCAAAGCTTGAGACTAAAGATTCTAGCAAAGGTGATTTAAGTCACAACTCCCCCCGAGAAGGATGTGGAAGTCTATGGAATACTGAGAATGAAATAAATCCCACTCCTAGTAATTTATCCTCCAAATACACTTACATGTCTGTAGAAAGACACATGTGCAGGGATGTTCAGCGAAGCCTAGTTGAAAGAAAAAAAGACTAGAAATGACCTGCATAACTATCCATAGAAGATGGGTTAAATAAATTATAGACTGTCAGGCAATGGAATGCTAAAGATTGGTTGAAAAAGAACGAGGTCATGCATTGGTACTGATAAAGAAAGATCTCTACTGTATTGCTAATGAGCACAGGCAGGAGTTGCTAGAATTCTCTCATTTGCTCATGCAGACAAGCTAAACTTAATGCTTCTATGTGCAGAGAATATTTCTGGAAGGAGACACAAGAAACTCTTGTACCAAGTTTGCTTCTGGGAATAGGACCAGAAGACTGGGGTGGGCAGAGCGTATTCTTTCTTCTAAACCTTTTACACTATTTGAATTTTTTTTTTATAGCAGCAACATGCATTACTTTGGCAGCTAAGGAAGAAGAGAACAAAAGCCTCAAACATCTCTGCACAGGTAGAGAGAAGAAATCAGCCATGATCCACAGTCTCCCACTCGAGATTCTGAATCTCTTCAGCAAGGCCCAACTGGCTTCAAAGAGGCAAAGTCCAGTGGGTGAAGGAGACGGATGATTCACATAGATAAAAATTCAACTTTAAAAAAAAGTATTCCTTCTAATTTAGAACCTGAGTTAGGATTGTATTAGCATATTGCACAGAGGCGGCCTAACAGCATCGAAAGAAGGAAGAACTAGTTAAATAAATTCCCTGAATCTTGCTTTTCCCCCCTCGTTAAAGATGGGATGAAAATAATACTGTCTTTCCCCTGGGACTATCAGGAGGATTAAATGAGACAATGTGCATGGAAAAAGTGTTTTGAAAATTGGAAAGGGCAATGCAGATACTAGGCACTAATTAGTGTTATTACTGAAAAATTCAGACTGCCGTGATTAACGGGGGAGAAAAAGAATTAGGTCTGTATGGTGTTTTTTTTTTTTTAAGT